GGCTGGAGGAATAATAAAACATTTCTTTGCAGAAAGAAAAAAAGCTAATCTGGTTAAATTCAACCATTTTGTGGGACTCACATTTTAAAAGTTACAGAAACATTCCAGGTTTGACATGTAGTATCAATGAGTTTGGAAGAAGGCTGGTTCAACTATTCCAATTACTCACCATACATCTCTGAAAGTTGAGGTTGTCCCTGAGGATAGTCAAAGTCCAACACTGAGGACAAGTCATGTGTCTAGTGAAAGCAGTTGCATATATACTGCATGGTGTGGTATTGTTTGCTCTTCTCTTACTCTTGTTTTCTTTGTGTTGCTTCTGGGAGCTAAGTTTGGATTTTATTTACAGTTGCTTCCTCTCTTTTGGGTTATCCATCTCGGCCATTTGTTGGCCAGGAGGCCTTCTATATCTTTCTCTATCTTCTTTTTCCCTTCCTTCCCATATGCTGTGCCTTCCAAAATCCTGAAACTCAGGCTGCCTCTGGCCCTGAAGCCATTTCTATTTTTATTCTAATTTCTCTTCTACCAGCCCAGATGTCACCCTTAGTTTGTCTTAAGTCTTCAGTTTCTCCCTTCAGGAAACAACTCTATTTCGAGCACATTGCTCTCACTTTCCCTGAATATTAAGAAAAAAAAAAAATCTAGTTCACGGCTTTATATGATCTGGAGCCCTCTGTTGTGGACCAGCCATCTTCCTTCATTGATCTCTTGTTCTTTATATATTTGTTAAATTTCTGTTTTCACAGTTCAATTTTTATGTGTTTTTTCTTATATGTTTTAGATATTCTTGTGAACAAGATATTTCTTGTTATTTCTTATTTTGTATTTTATTGTTTGATGGTTATTCACACCGTGTTTCTGTTTCTTTGGCGATAACTATTTAATAGGTTTTCCATAGGTGACTTATGAAATGTCCTAATTTCTTTACCGTACTCGTTTACTTTAAATTAAGCACAAGCATATTTCTAGAAAGTTAGTGCCATTTTGTATCTCCATCACACTAGAAAGTCTAGTCTGATTTGCTGTCTTCTGTTTGCAGTATCTTTCATATTAGCTCTATTACATTTCTCATCCTCCATAGAATAATTGTATTTAGGTTATTTTGCTACCTGTGATTTAATGATCTAATCTGGTATCTTTTTTTTTTTTTTTTCCACTTGCACTGTTATTTTGTTTACATGTTAAAGTGCAAAGGAACAGGGGTTGAGGTTTTTTTACTTAATCTGTTTCATGTGATGCAAAGCACAAATTAAATTCTTAGCAACATTATCAGAAATTTCAGCTGAAAAGAAAACTGGCAGGCTTATCCGTTGGAAGGCCTAGAGCAAAATAACAAGAGGAAAAAAATATAGGTCATATGGCCAGAATGTTTTTGGAGTGATGCTGTGGTAGAAATCTTGGCTTACACTGAATTGTCCCATGCTTGGCTATGTCTCCAACTGTAGGTCTTTGCCATTTTGTTGGGGCTGAATACTGATTGTTGAATTAAGTGGTAAAACTTCAGAGAAATCAAGGTTCATCAACACCACAGAATACATAGTAGGAGTTTCCACGTTGACCTAGTTCTCATTCTCATAAGGTCTGGCCACCACAGTAACTTTGTTGCATTTCCTTCATTAGAGTACTCTTTTAAGAATGACCGTCTCCTTTATTGTCTCTATACCCTGATGTGAATCTATTTAATAGTCCCAGATCCCGGTTCACTGACTTATGTGGTCTTCCCTAATTTCAGGCTCTGTGGCCACACTGCCACTTTTGCTGGTTTTCATGAAACTACAGCAGATTCAGCTGCTGTAGGATATTTCTCCTAGCTGAAGGACAGGACCATTTATAAAACCACAGAGAATGGATTGTATTAAAAATGTTTGAGCAGGTTTTCAGTGCAGAAGTGATGAAAATGACTCGCTGGGAATGGGAACAAACACAACCACGCTTAAAACCACATTAAATAGTCATGATTGATTTTTGCTGTAGATTAAACTCAATAGGCTAACGTGTTTTTTATATTTGATATGGTTGGTTTAAATGGAGTTCTGAATCATCTTTAACACATCTCTAATAGCATATTTTTTCCAGTTTAAACCTGGCTTGGGTGTACAGTTTCTGGTATAGTTTGGTTGGAAAACATTCCAATTGTTTCTTCTGCCATCATGTCAACTGCTTCTTGAGGAGACTTATGCAAAACATGTAACACATATGCAACGTGGCGTGGTTTGAGTTTACTAAATAGTCTGTCTATACTTTTTTTCTCCATGTAAGAAATAAATCCTACTTTGAAGTATTAGGTCTCTGTGCTTCTTACCTGTTTTCCTACTCTTTTTCTGTGAATTTAACACTATCTTTTTGGAGACCTTAAAATAAACCAGACTGAAATTGCCTTTGATATAAGAAGGCACAACCCCTAATGAAGTCCACGGGAGTTATGTCAGCTTACCCAAAGACTGAATTTAACCTCTCTGTTTCATTGGGAAACCGGCACATCGTGCTTAGTTTTATTTTTGCAACAGCCAAGGCCTGGTTTTGGAGAGGTAAAGCTCTATGACAGGCTGTTACTAAGGATATTTTGTTTCAACAGCACGTGCTTTGGAAATTTCCATGCAATATATAGTTTTTATATGAAGATCAGTTAGTGCGCATCATCATGGATTTGTTTGGTTTTCAGTGATAATTTTGTTTGGTAAATCCCGATTCTTGTTCTTTCTCATAATATTTACAATGCAATTTAAATACTAGAAAGGATTTGTCAAACCATCTGGCATCCTCGGAAGTAAGAAACCCTGGCCCTGGAGGAAAGGCAAATGAGTAATGTAGGAGCAACTAGTTAGCAGAGCACTTGCATTCTACTTGTGTAATAGCATACACGAACCTGTAGTTTATGAAAGAGTAGGAGGTTACTTTTCAGAGATACTATTTTCAGTGAATTCTAGAGGGAGAAATTTTTTCAGTGTGGAAAATACTCTCTGCAAAACTGGAAAAACACCCGTTTCATTCTTATGTTAGGCGTCTTGATTTGAATGCTAAAAGTGTAATCGAAGAAACCTTTGCTTTGATGTGAAGGCTGTACAATGAGTATTAACATGAAGATGGTTTTCTCAGAAGCTGCATTAATCTTCTGTAGTCATGTTTTTCTTTTATCAGACAAGGTTGTGAGGGTAACTGTGGACGTTTGCTTCACTGTTAATACCAGATAAACAAATGTCTATCAGTTTCCTCCCTCTTGGGAAGTTGGATGCTTTGCTGAATCTGTGCAGCTTTGGCAAGGCTGACTTTCCAAGCAAAGGAACTAATCTTCCTATGGAACTTACATAAATATCACACTGTGACCTCCGTTGAAAGGTAGCCAATAATTAGTTTGTATAGATCATTCCTTTTTCCAAGTTTCTCCCTGAGGCTTAGCAGAGCCCAGTGAGGACATATAATGTATCCTTAAGCTCTGCATGGAGCCTTGTACAGGTAAAGTACTTCAGTCTCAAGGGAATCTCTGGGCAACCATGTACATTTGGTCTGAGCAATCAGCTACGTCTGTGTGAGGGAAAGGGAGAGACTGGAAAGAGATCTGCTAAGGGGATGGGGAAATACAAAATCTTTGGAGATTTCTGGAAACTTCTAATGTGAAGGAGCTGTTTTAATTTCAAGGCCTGCAAATTCTCAAAGAGCACCTGTGCTGAGTTTCACACCACTGATTCTGTTGACTAAAATCATCTTCTTCTGATGAATTGACATGAAATAATAATCTAATATAGCAAGCAGTGGGGATGGTAGGTGCAGGAAGGAAGCACAAATCAGGCTTTGGGTAGAAGATGGGGAAGGAACACCAGAATTATTGAATCTGATTACCAGTAACTGAAAATTTTAGGTGATGAAGCCTCTGAGCAAATGATATATTGAACAAACATCAGGAACACAGAAAATTTCAGAAATTTTCAGATGTTTTACATGTTGGAATATTTACAGGGCCATTTTACATGGTTTTATGAAAGTCAACTGACTGTGCTTTTCTTGTGTGGTGGAAATTCTAGGGCATAATACATTAATGCTTCACACTACGGAGTATGGTCAGTAAGGAAATAAATATGTCAGTAAAGCAATTATCATGCAGATTAAAAATTAGCTAACTGATAGGTCTTGAATAAGTGTATGGAGGGAATACTTGTCCAAATACATCATTTTTTGGTGAGGTCCTGCAGGGATCTATATGCTTATACAGCAGATAGGAGTGATGACATTTGCTTTGGCAGCGATCTAGCTTGCTTGGTAATCTAAGCTTGTTTAAAAATGGGCATTTTAATACAGCAAAACTACAGGTAACACACAAAATTAGTGGTTGTATTTCGCAGACCAGTAGTTGTGAAAGCAACTTTGCTGTTGGAGTGAAGATACAGCTGAACAAAACTCGCCACACCGAGGCAGTGACTAAGAGATGTCACAGTGCTTAGGCTTATGTATCCTTCGATGTTAGATAGGACAAAATGGCAGATAGACCTGATTTTAACATTTGAGATGTTGTTACCAGAACTGGGTGCCAGTGTGGAGCCCATGTATTGTTAAAGGCCGGTGATGAATTAGGAGGGATTCAGAGGAGTTTCAGTAAGGCTTAGAAAACCTGCCTTACATTTAGGAACTGGTTTATCCAAGATAACTTTAAGGGTTTTGCTTAAGATCAACAAGTATCTTTATGAGGCAAGAATGTAATGGGATCCAGCTGTTCGTGTACACAGTAAAAATAAGGAGGAGGTGAGTGTGGGGAGAAACACTGTTGTTGTGAACTGTTCACTTCTAATCAGCCTTTACTTGAGTGTCCAGGTCAGGCCAGCTCCACTACCTAGAACTGCAAATATTTTTACTGGCTCCTGTGACTGTCGCGCTTGCCCATTAGTAAGACAGAGTTAGCTTAGCTTATGTAGCTGAAAGGAAAACAATTAATTTCTGTCTTGGTGCTGTCCATAACTTCATTTAAGAATCTTAATATTCTAAATAATTTCTTCCTTCTTTTTTTAAAGGGCACCAATGCCTCTGCTCTGGAAAAAGACATTGGCCCAGAGCAGTTTCCAATCAATGAGCACTACTTTGGATTGGTCAATGTAAGTACCATTTTCAATATGAAAACCATATACAGAACCATGGATTTGATGTTACTTGAACTTTGGTTTCTTCTTTTCCTTTTTTTTTTTTTCTCCCCCAATCCTTCTCTAAGGTAGGATTGTCTTTTTTTTTTATTTTTTAAAAATGCTGCTCACATTCCAATTTTAGGCAAAGTGGGCTGCAAAGCTGTATCAGATGTTTGAAGATAGCTTCATACACCCCCAGAGAAAACAGTTTACTGTTCTATGAATGTTTCCAGGAATTAGAGCTTGCACTTCAATAAAGTTAAAAGTCTATTTTAGCTATGAAATGTGAGGGAGTAAGTGGTGGATGTATGGACAAGCTTAGGTACAGTAATCTGCTTTGGGGACTCTCTTAGGAGGAGCTTTTTTATCTGACTAAGGAGAGAATTGATCAAGAAGGGTGTTTAATCACTTGTTTATTCCCATATAAATAAAACAGATATAGTAATTCTTTCCATTCAAAACATCAGTCATTCTGCTACTGAGCACCCAGTAAGAGTATATTAATATATGGAAACAAGCTTAACGAGATCCACTACAACAAATATATCTTTTGGAAGTGGAAACTTTTACTTCATATCCTAGTTAATTTAGAATACCATAGGTTTTTTTCTGTGGAGTGTCAGGGGTGGGTGTGGAAATATATTCATACAGCAGCTGCATGGCAAAATGGCTGGTATGTGACGGGGGCACCAAAGCCAGAAGTTGAACGAAGCAACTAGTTTTATTGTGATGTACAGGGACTAAGATTGTTTTTAATTTTATATGGCAGTTTGGGAACACCTGCTACTGTAACTCCGTGCTGCAGGCATTGTATTTTTGCCGGCCGTTTCGGGAAAATGTATTATCATACAAGGCCCAACAGAAAAAGAAGGAAAATCTCTTGACTTGCCTGGCAGATCTTTTCCACAGTATTGCTACTCAGAAGAAGAAAGTTGGAGTTATTCCACCAAAGAAGTTCATATCAAGGTTACGAAAAGAAAACGGTAAGTATAAAACTGGAATCCTCTTAGACATTCATACATTGATCAGGAAAGTATAAGTAAACATTGGGCAATGTGGTCACATTAATCAGATGTTCAGGTAAGATTTGTAAATTGCTTTATGTACTTTTGGGGCTTTAGATATTAATATTTTAGTTTCTGTGTACATAATATTATGCCTGAAATAACCATACTGGGTTTCATAAGTTCCCAGAAGTACATGAATTAATGATGTTTTCACAGGATGGTGGGACAGACTGCACTGCACAGTGAGCTAGGGCTGGGAACAGGGTGACACTCTGCTGCAATTTTTTAATTATTTTTTTGTGGAGTACGGCGAAGAGAAACATTGAGAATGGTTGGTAGTATGGAAACTGTGTGACCAGGAGTGCTACAGGCACCACTAGTCCAAAACACCCTGGAGGACAGTTAACTGTATGTATGTGGGGGTGTTCAGTGGACTACACGTCAACCGCTGCTCTTGTTCTTAGAAGTGGTGGACACAGTCTTACTTTGTGAAGCATCAGGCCCTTTTTGAGCATTAGGTTGGTAACATCATATGCCTAATCTTGTAGTAGTTCTGTCTAAGGGTTATGAGGAACATCTTGAAATGAGGAAGCCTGCCACACAGCTCAGTTTTGGCCTGGATTCATATCAGTGTGGGTGGTATGCTTAGAAACAGGGGAGCTTTGAATGAAGAGACAAAGTACAAGTAAAACACCTGGAAGAAATTGCTTCCTGGTGACAGCATATAAATGGGCAGACTGTTCATTCCAGAGCAGGCGTTTGAAAGTGTGACAAAGTTAGCTCTGAGTCATCTAGTGATAAATGCCCCCACACTGTTGGGGATCAGTTTTAGGGACTGGATCTTGTGTTTTCAGCTTTTTTAAATTAGGGCCAGACTTGGTGTGTATTAACCTGTTTATGTGTCCAGTCTATACACTGCAAAGCCGAAGGATCTGTGCGATATTTTCTGAGGAGATCCATATGAGCTTTTTCAGGAGCAGGAGGATAAAAATACACATTTCTTGGAACACAGATTCTTTTTTCTTCAACATGGTGGGCAAATTAAGCCTTCACTGGAGAAGTCTGTACAAAATCACCACTGAGATATTCTCCCCTCCTGCTGCAAGGATTTCTCATTGAAGAGGACAAGTCTCTGCTCATCAGACTTGTGTGTGAAAAATGAGCTTTGTTAGATGGTGTTATTATTACTGTTTGTGGTGGGTTAACCTTGGCTGGCTGCCAGGTCCCCACCAAGCCTCTCTCTCACTCCTTCCTCAGCAGGACACGGGGAGAAAATAAGATGAAAAAACATTGTGCATTGAGATAAAGGCAGTTTAATTAAAAAAAAAAAAAAAAAAAAAAAGAACACATGCGGAAGCAAAGCAAAACCAAAGGAGATTTATTCTCTACCTCCCATCAGTAGGTGATTTCCAGCCACTCCCTGGGAAGCAGAGCCTTGGTATGCATAGGAGTTGCTTTGGAAGGCAAATGTCTTAATAATTAATGTGTCCCCCCCCAAAATCCTCCTGTCCCGCAGCTTTTATTGCTGCACACAAAGTCACATGGCATGGAATATCCCTTTAGTCAGTTTGGGTCAGCTGTCCCAACTGTGTCCCCTCCCAGCCTCTTGCCCAGCCCCAGCCTACCAGCCTTTGGCAGGGGGCATGTTGGAGAGACAGCCCTGATGTGTGAGCACTGCTTGGCGATAGCCAAAACGTTGGTGTGTTATCGACACCATTCTAGCCATACATACAAAGGTCAGCACTTGAGGAGCTGCTATGAGGAAAGGTAACTCCATCCAATGTCTTCAGTTTCCCCAGCATTTTGTCTTACTGTCCAAACTCTGTTCCTAAGTGCCTGAGGGACTTGGACTATACGGGTGGGAGTCAGTGCTGCCTAAAGTTAGGCGTCTAGTCTAAGGAATTAATTTAGGATGAGTCACTCTCTTCCTTTCTTCATGGCCTGTAGTGGGAGCTTCCACAACCAGCTCCAAACAAGAGTGTAACCTTTCAGACAGCTGAAGTTAGGTGGGACAAAGACTTCCCTCAAAGTAGATTCCCTGAAGCCAGTGTGACCGCAAAACTGCTCTTCTTTGGCATGACTCTAAATACTTTGCTAAACAAGGGTCAGTACATGTATTTGGAAAGAAATAATGAATTTAGTTTGCTTTCTTGAAGGAAAGGACATACTTAGCTTTAGGAATCTTGACTCTCTTTTTCACAGATCTCTTTGACAACTACATGCAGCAGGATGCACATGAGTTTTTAAATTACCTGCTCAACACCATCGCAGACATTTTGCAGGAGGAGAAGAAACAGGAGAAGCAAAATGGGAAACTGAAAAATGGCAACATGAATGAATCAGAAGAGAACAATAAGCAAGAACTCACCTGGGTGCATGAGATTTTTCAGGGAACACTGACTAACGAAACTAGATGTTTGAACTGTGAAACCGTAAGCATTGGGATAGATTTTTTTTTGGTTGTTGCCCATTAATAGATAGATACGTTTTATATATATAAATATATGAATCTTTTCAGACATCTGAGAATTGTGGATATTCCTGTAGACTTTACTTCTTGAAGTGAGTATATTCTTTTCTAAAAATTTATTTTTCTAAGCATTACTTGGCTAACTATGCCAAGTCTTGCTGTCCTAATACCTATCACTACAGTTAAAATCCTTGCTAGTTAATCAATACCCTTTCTTATTACTGTAACTTTGGGAGAAGATATTCACATCATTATTCTATGAATAAGTGAAATGTTAAGATGAATTTGTGTTAATTCAATCCTAAGAATGTAACTGGCATACAGAGGGTTTGTTATTAACAAACCATATGTTTTGTTTTATCTCCCTAATACTTTCTAGAGGATGCTGTCAGTTTGAAGTTTTTTATGTTTGAAGTATAAGTAAAAGTTCATTTTAGTTAGGAAACCTGATTGCAACTCTCCTATCAATTTCTGTTGTTTTCAATCACATGCTTCCACTTCAAGGGAAAAGAAATAATTTTTTAAAAAAGTATGTCTCTGTGAGGTTGCCATGTGAAAGAGCAACACAGACTTGGTGAGAACAGTGACACTGACTTTCCAAAAGCTTGGAATTAACCTCACCTAGCCTTTGCTTTGTAAAATGTAGATGTCAAGGATGAAGTAGTTTCCTCAGTTCCTTCTGTAAATGATGGAGATTGCAAAGGAGCTCCTACAGGAAGATCTCTCCATCTGTCTCTGGGCTGTTCCAAGAAACAGAAAGTTTTTAGCAGCATCCAGTATTCTGCTCCATACTGCTTGTCCTGGCTCCGTGGTGTCACTGAGCTGTTGCAATTGTTGGTGCATTAATGCTGTGAAATGGGCCAGCAAGGTGGTCTGACCTAAGAATAATGTGGTTTTAATTCAGACCAGTACTGCTACCATGGAATCCCTCTAAAGAAAATGCAGCTTTAAATTAACTGCATTAAGATGGGAGAAGGTCCCCAGAGAAGGTATCTTCAAACAGCAAGCTGAGGTTAAATAACTAACTTTAGAGAGCTGAAGCTGGGTGAGATAAAGCCTACCCAGGTCCTACCAGATGTGTAAAAGAACATATTCTGACATTTCTAATCATAAAGAATAGCTCTGTACTCCAGGAAAATATGACTTCTCCGGGGATTTGTCTCGGGGTGGGTGGGGGTGGAGGGAAGAGACACAGTAATAGTCAACATGAAAAAAGGGGTTGGACCAAGTTTAGAATAAGCTTATACAAGTGAAAACATGAGAGAGATATTGAAAATTAATTCTTTAATGTATTTCAATTATAAAAGCAAGTTAAAATAAGCGAAAAGGTAAAATCATTTTTTAACTGACAAGCTTCTTTAAATGATTGTGGCCTGATTCTAAATTTATATACAATGTTTACTCAGACAACCTGTACTGAAGTACACAAAACTGCACAATACCCTATTTGTAATTCGAAGTGACCAAGCTTTATGGAAAAAGTAACGCTAGGTATTGCTGCTGTAGGAAGACTTGTCTGTAGCTTCCTGTGAATCCAGAAATACTGTACATTAACCAGGATACTTTTTTGAGTTTGTTTTTCTTCTATTATTTTATCTTGACATTTTTGGGAGATAGTGAAATGAATTAAAAGATGTTCCTTTGCTACAATATTCATATGTGGTACATGAAGAATCATTCCGATTCCAGCAGTTTTTATTCTCATTTACAAAGAAGGCAGTTTGAACCTGGTTTTCCAGCTACCTTTAGTTTTGGGCTGTATTATTCTAGGTCCAACTAGCTCATCTTTTGCTTTCAGTAAATATTTGATGTGCTGAAATCAATAACAAAATTCCAAGCTTCTTGTGGTATTCAGATGAAACACTATACTTGCCAAAGACTTTTCCAAGTATTTAACCTCTTTCTTGATACGCAGTGTGTCTGACAGAAGTGTAGTTCCAGCCATAGGGACACAATGTTCTCTGAAGCTTTTTTACTCTATATCTTTTGAATTCTAGCTGTATGTTTATACTGCAGTTGATTGCTGCCAGTTTTGTGGTTTCCTGTTCCCTGTGGGTTGAATTATGTCTTAGGGAGGACTTTTGTTTGAAGAACTGTTGTTCATTTTAATTGGGTGCGGGGTATGCCTCTGAGCATCTTTGATAATATCAAAATTCATCCTGCTAAAAGTGTTCCTCTGGACTGATACTGACTGCATTCACTGTGTCTATAGGATCCCTGACATAACGTAAAGATGATCTGAAGCAGTACATAACTTTCACATCCATAGCATTGCAGAAATCTGAGCATGAGGGATTTGAATCAGAGCAATGGGTTCAACCCCTCACTGAAGTTCTTGATTTGAACTTCACTATGCTATCATCTGATTTAGTTATTCTAAGAAAGTGCAGTCATAGGAGGCAAAATATGGAGTATTCATGCAGCATTTTATAAACAGAATTTGTTGTTATGACTAAATTCATGTGCAGTAAGTAATTCTGCAGGTTTTTTGACTCAGTTGGAGTATTACAACAATCATCCATTTGGATGACTTTTTTTACATTCCTTAGTCTTCAAGATTAAACATTCCAAGAGAAAAATCATTTTCAAAGCAAAAATCATCAAGATCTGTCATTCTGAAAATGTTTGAGGTTACATTTTTTTTAAAATAAAAACTCTTTATTAGAATTTTTCTCCTATTCTTCCATCTAAAAAAACATTGGCAAAAATGAAATGATTTTGCAAAATAGTATCACTTTGCCATTTTTACCTTTAATCTTTTAAATTTTTAATCAAAATTATTGACCGTGAATAATATTCTGTGGGGAAGTGCAACTGTGTCAACCAGAAATATAAAGTCAGCTTTTGAACGCTCACTGGAGAGAAAACATAACATGGTTAAATATGACTTTTTTTGACAGATGTTTATTTGGAAAATATCTTCATTGCATCAGTGATAGTGGAAATAATTATGTAGGGCATAAACTGAGATTATACAGTGTAATGTATTATACAGAGGGTAAATAAATTTCCAGGAAAATAAGAAACTAGCTGTGTTGCATAACTAGAACATATGTCATGTGCCAGTCACAGCTAACGTAGGGGATGGTGGTCCCTCTTTAATGAAGAGAAGACTGTGGTCACCGGCCCATGGTTGGTGGGCTTGGATTAGTGGAACAGATGGAAGTTAAACTATATGAAAACCAGACTGGTATATTTACTAATAAATATAGTCACACTGAACTAGAAAAAAAAAAAATAAAGCCATTGAAATTAATGATTTTTGTGTAATTTATTTCTGCAGAAGTTGCTCTATCTTTGGCATTTGCACGTAGATATAAACTGCATCTAGATGTACGTCATTTTAGTAAGTCTGTTTTACATGTATATTTTTTGCAACAGGTTAGTAGCAAAGATGAAGATTTTCTTGACCTTTCTGTTGATGTGGAGCAGAACACATCAATTACACACTGTCTAAGGTAAATTAATACATCTCTTGGGCACATAGTTCTGGCTGACTTTGCTACATTTTCCAAGTCTAGTAGGTACAGAAAAGAGAAGTAGAATAGTATTGGGTTTTGAGCTTTTCCTAAGCAGAATAAAAAGACTAAACTGCGTGTTTCCTCTAATGACAAAATATACATTAATGTATTTTGTTTTACTCACTTTCTCTCTCTATGTATGTGTTTGAAAGAGAAAAAAAAATTATCTCTGGGGGAAAATAATTGATTGCCTTGTCATCTGGAAGAATTGCTGCAGAACAATAATTGGCTTCAAAGGGATTTAAGTGTGCTTATCTTTAAGCTTCTACTCAAGTGCTTTGTTGATTAGGACTTATGTGCATATTAGAAGTTAAGTGTGTGCTTTGCAGAATGAGTGCTAGAGTCCCTACAGGGCATAAAATTTCAAAAATCTACTTTTCTGCCACATAAGTTTCTCATTCTGTGTCTCATCCTAAAATTACAGGGAGAAGCATTTTATTGTAAGTTTCAGTTCTGCTCCTAGTACACTCTTAACTATCAAACAAATACTTTGGAGCTCAAAATAATTTTCAGACATGCATGGATCATTATTCTGAGAGATTTTAGGCATGCAGAGTTTTGTCATTGATACAATAAACCAATATCTAGATTTAAGACAATATGCTGCTGCTCTAAGCTAAGGATTATCAGTTGGACAAAATACTCTTTCAAGCTCCAAAATTGCTAAGTTTGAAATTGCATTTAGCAGTTATTCTGGAGTGCCTAGGAAGCATTGCCTGGCACCTCGCTCTGGGCTGAGAAAGAGAAATCATATGATGTACTAACCATTTCCTGAGTCAGAAAGCAACTTCTCTGTGGATACCACAACTGTACTAAGTAGCTTCTGTTACATTTTAAAGTGCTACATCCAGTAAGTTTGTTTGCCTTCTCAACTTCTGTTCCGTCCCCTGTATGATACTGTAGCAGTCCTTAGCCCTCAGGTAGTCCACACTCCAGTAATTAGCCTCATTTTAGAAGGTGAGCAAACTGAAGACCAGCTTTGGAAAGGAGTGCATTTATTTTCTTTTTTTCCCCAGTTTTCTCTGTGTCTGCTCATGGTCACCAGTAATTGAATCAGTATTGGTACTAAAGGCTTTTGTTTTCACACTTTTAAGTTCTTCACTGTAGCCACTACTTTGAACTTGGTTTTGTCAGCGTTACTTACCTTTTACTATGGTGTTCAAAGTCAATTTGAGGTCACACTGACATGGCAGGAGGCTGAAGCATGGATCTTCTGAGGTCCTTTGTAACCTGAGTTGTTATTTGTCTCTATGATCTAGTTACTGGAGAGTGAGCACTGACATTTTCTTACAGCTTATTCTGGTGAACTTGTTAGAAACTGCTGCTGTACATAAGTTACCATCTGTCCTTCAGCTTTCTCCAATTTTTTTATTTAGTTTCTTAGTTGTTAAACTTCCTCGAAATGCCTTGATTGGAGAGGCCTTTTTAAGCAAAGGTACAGAGTGCTTCAGTAAAAGTACCAATAGCATTTCTACTACTGAACAGGCAGTGGCTGTAGCTTATGATGAGATAGAACTGAATCTGCACTACTGCAGCCACCAGGTGAATGGTGGAGTTGAAAGGAACCCCAAGAGGGTAGCCCCTATCTCCACCTCAGACAGGATGCTTGTCCAACCTGTTCCAAAAGATCTTTTATCAGTAGTAGCTCTATTGCTTATTCCAGTCCTTCCTGTTCTTACTACTAACAAGTTTTTTTTTCCACTGTGTAACATGAATATTCCTTGTTTCAGTTCATGCCCATTTCTACTTGCCCTGTGTACTCTGGACATCAGCCAGGGGTTGCTCCCCTTCCTCTTAGCAGCAGCCTTTTACATACAGGAAGAATGTCATCACTTTCTAAGTTGAACAGCCTAAGGTCATTCAGCCTTTCCTTCACTAGCTATCTTCTCTAGACCTCTGCTCATGTTCATTACTCTTTGGCCTTCTCCAATTGAACATCTCTCTTCAACTCTTATCTTTCTTGAAGTACCATTGCCTAAAATTAGGCACAATATTCCAGCAGAGACCTACACAACCCTGAGAAAAATGGATGTTCTAAAAGTTTGTTTATACATTCTAGTATAGTGTCTGCCTTTACTCCAGCAGAACGGCATGCGTTTTGAAGTTCACCCATTGTTCCTTTTGGAAATAAAGGGAAGCAAAATCCCAGTTTTTCTTTTTCTTGGGGTGGGAGGTGCAGGTTGCTGTTTACATATTAAACAGGAAAAGAGTCATCACCTGTATTCTGATTGTCTTGTATGCCAACAGCATGTCTAGTTCCTTTTAAAAAACATATCCAGTTAGAATATGGATTTCCTCTCATCACTCTATGGTATTATGCATTATTAAACACAGTGTAAGTGCTTTTGTGGTTTTGGAAATTTTGCTTTTTCCTTTTTTCCTTTTTTTTGGAAACTTTGCTTTTTTATTTTTTAAAACAATTCTTTTGCTGTGTTTTTACAGCTTTAAGTGCTACTGCATTGAAGAGGTAAATTAAAGAAAAACTGTGCAAGATGACTTTTAAGTAGAGTTAATATTTTTGCCACTACAGATAAATGTTCTTTTTAGTAATTTCTGTAGCTTTTCAGATTGAAAAGGTCCTTGTTTACATAAGAGGTCCAAAGAATACAAGCCTCTGGGCAGAGTCTAACTCCACAGGGTAGAAAATCAGGCCTGAAACAATAGAAGTCTAATAACAAATATAGTACATATCCATTATTTTTATTTCCACTAGGAGTTGCAAAGCTTACCAGTCCATTTGATCCTGACTTTTAACTAGTCTGCCTGTGCTTTTTTATTCCACTAATAATTCTCTCATCTCTTAAAACAGAAAATTTGTATTGTTTATGCATATAAATAATATAAAACATCTTTCACACTGTAGCATAGAGGCTGTAGAGAGATGGACTGTGGAAACACATGAGGTCGATGATAAATTAATTTATCTTGAGCTGGTGTATTTAAAAAAAATCCTTTCTCCTTTTAAAATACCATATAAACAGGATTAGATTGGCCTGTTAATAGAATAGGAAAGAGTAAGAAATGTCTTGAAGCTAGCTGTGCACATATAGAGAAAAGTTCCTCAAGCCTATAGTTCTTGTACATGTAGATTTTGTTTGAACTCTATTCAACGATCTGTTCTTTTAACTGTTCAACATCTGTTAGCAGTGCCATGCTGAAAATTCTCAACTGATGAAACAGCTACTGAGGCTGCAGTTGTAAAAGGCAGCAAAAGAATCTAATTCTCACCTGCCCACCTCCCTTCCCCCAAGGAAAGAGTTATTGCTTACAAATATGCCACCAGGCTTGTTCCTAGTAAAGAGAAAAGAATTAATACGTGCTAAATAAGTGAACTAGTAGTGCCTCTAAATTCCATGACTGTGCCTCACCTTTGGTAGAATAGGGTAACAGCCTGTCAGGTGGATGTAGAAGACAAAGGAACACAAAAACAAATGCTAAAGGAAGTGTAAGGGAATGTCCCTCAGCTTATCAAGTATTTGCATATTTCTCCATCCTTCACAGATGTAATTCCCATAGCAGTCAACTTATCATTTAAAATGTTAGATATTATTGTTTTTAGAATAATTCATACATTTTTAAAGGAATTCAGAAACACTTTGATTTTAATTATTTTCATGGGAGGCTTGCCATAGAACAAACTGATATCTGTCAAATTTCTACCATCTGCATATGTTTCTTTATGTTAGAAAAATATTATTTCCATTGCTTCACTTTGAGGTGGGAAGGAAACTAATAAGTTCCACAAGTTTGTTTGGGTTCTTTTAAGTTAAGACTTCAGGCTTTGAAAATAAACAACAGATTCTTTCCTTAACAGGAGACCTAAAACTTACGCAAGGACATTTTACTGAATCTTACAGCATTATGTTTCCCCCACATATAACCCATCTCTAATCTTTTCTAATGTTTCATATCTTCACTTATGATTCCCTGAAAGGTTACCATGTCTTTCAGGGGAATTGGCTGAATTCAGTTAATTTTGTCTTTAAATTCAAATGTACATCATATATTCCAGATCACTGTTTACCACTGAAGCAAATCCTTTCCAATGATCATGCTTTATTTTAATTTTAGATCATAGAATCATAGGACTATAGAATCATTTTGGTTGGAAGAGACCTTTAAGATCATCAAGTCCAATCATTAATGTAACACTGCCACGTTACCACTAAACCATGTCCCACAGCACTATATCTACCTGTCTTTTAAATACCTCCATCGATGGCAATTCCAGTGCTTCCCTGGGCAGCCTGTTCCAATGTTTGACCACCCTTTCAGTGAACAAATCACTTGTTACTTGGGAGAAGTAACACTTTGCTACAATCTCCTTTCACGTAGTTGTAGAAATCGATGAGTTCTCCCCTCAGCCTCCTTTTCCCCAGGCGAAACAACCCCAGTTCCCTCAGCTGCTCCTCATAAGACTTGTACTCCAGACCCCTCACCAGCTTCGTTGCCCTTCTCTGAAGGCAGAAGATAAAAAATTATACGTATGATCAACGTTTTGTTGCAACTTATCTTTTGCATTTTGTCCTAAATTTCAGCACTTTCTGATCAAATTTTTTAAAGAAAAAAACTAGGAAAAGCATTCTCAGTTAGTATTATCCAATCATATGAAGTGCCTCTCTGTCATGCTTTGTCATCCTTAAAGAATTTAAAACTTGAAGATGGAAAATGCTCCCCTTTTTTGAAGTTATGTAAATAACTTCTAATACCTATGCCCTGGAAATCTATATCATCATCAGTTCTCCCATCTACCCTTGTGGTGATGATGCCAAGAAGAAATAATTGTCCAAAATCCTCCCTTTGCCTTTGTAAGATGATTCTGGTGCTGCCTGCCGTGAGAGCAGGCTGAACCTGCAGACAGCGCGGCTTCAGCCTCCGTGCGTGTGAACTGCATTAGCAGAAGGGAATTTATTTGGTCTGAATGTGTCTGAATTTGCCTGGAGTTCAGAATTCTATTAGGCACAATGTAGGTGCAATTAACAGGACAGTTCTGTACTTCAGATATATCTATTTAAGGCCCAAAGTCACAAGAAAACCTTTGTGCTTAAACTGGTGCTTATGTCTGCATTTACAGTTCTCACAAGACCTGTTCAGCTGCAATGTAACACTAGAGGTGACAAAAAAATTACTTTTTTTTTTTAGAGTTAAGTTTTTTTAGGTACCTAAAATTCTGCTCCAAGTCATACACTATGACTTCCGACAAATCTTTTCTATGAACTGAGAGACACTATCAAACCAGCCTTCCTCTGCCTCTCACTCCAAAAGATCAGTCCAGAAACACTTCCAAGCACATTTACTTGATCAGGATTTACAAAATCTTCTATACTAGCTGACACTTTCCTTTTTGGACAACAAGAAAGTATAATCAAATAACTGCTGTATGACAGTTCAAGAGGTTAGAGGATGCAGAAAACTGTGTTCAATTTATTTCTTCTGTGTAAGAGGATTCAAACCTACCTTACAGAAGAACACCATAAAATGTGAACTATCTGGGAATGACATAAGTGCACTTGAAGGTGTTCCTTTCTGCAAATAATTTGAAAAGGAACTGGATGGATTGAGTGACTACACCCAAGTCTACGTGGCCCCTTGACATGTAAGAGACCAGAATATAAGTTCCATTTTGAGATACCTGACCCTCCACCTGTATCGTATGGAGGTCCTCACCTCCTAATACAGGGCTGTCACAGCAACCGGATACCTTAAGTCCCTTTGCAAACCCCGTACAGTTGCTTTACATGTTTTAGAAAATTGGACTCAGTGGAAAGACGATTTCATCCTGTGTGTCTTTTTAGGGTTCCAGTTCATCAGCCCAAGAGGGGCAAGAGTGTTAAGATCCTTTAAGAACTGATAATTGTATTTATTTCCAGAGACTTCAGTAACACAGAGACATTATGTAGTGAACAGAAGTACTACTGTGAAACCTGCTGCAGTAAACAAGAGGCACAGAAAAGGTAAGCAAAGAGCAGGCTATTGCATCACATTCCTCCTGGGCTTTGACAAACCTCCTTGATATTTATTGTTTAGATAAATAGAAGACTTACACCCCCATTGTGTTCTCTGTGTGGGCCAGAGAACCTATAGACAGATTCAAAGCTATTACATGTGTCTTAATCTAGAAGCTACTGCTAGTTGACTACTGTTACTTTTTATAGTAACTTACTGTTACTGTTTGCTTTTACAATGCAAACATTTACTCATTAAGGAAAGACAGAATGGCTTTGAACTGGTCAGGTCCTTATCATGTGCACTCTAATGCTTTCACAGGATGAGAGTAAAAAAACTGCCAATGATTCTTGCCTTACACCTCAAGAGATTCAAGTATATGGAGCAATTGCACAGGTATACTAAGCTGTCTTATCGTGTAGTATTTCCTCTGGAGTTACGGCTCTTCAACACATCTGGCGATGCTGTCAACTTAGATCGGATGTACGACTTGGTAGCTGTTGTTGTTCACTGCGGAAGGTAAGCTACTTTCATGTATATCTCCAGCTATTGCCAGATATTTGCCAAGGCCAGAGACATGACTGACAAAATGTGGGGAGAGTGGGAGGGAGGACATAAACCCCGCTGCTACACCAGCTTGCCTGTGTCTTGGCCTGAACCTCTTAGCCACCCTCCCTCATAGTAAATCTGTACTTGTTTAAAAAATAATGTCTCAGTCCTCCAAAAGTCACAAGATTGGCTTAAATGAATGGAGGTGTCTCCTTCCTCATCAGCCTGCTTAGAGAGCTTGGGAGCCAGGGCACTGTGAGGGCCAGATGCTGCTATCATTTAGGCCTTTCAACATGTCAAGGCAATGAAAATTACAGCTTTAATAAAGCTTCTCACATATGTCAATACGAAACAAACAGAAAAATCCCTGGTTCTCTAGGAATATGACTTGTTCTTCCTCTTCTCAAAGACTGTATGTAACTAAATATTCACAGTTGATACCAAACAGTTTGCCCCCTTAAATTTAGTTCATAATTTTTTAAAATATTTGCAATAGTTGATACCTGCCATGAGCAAATTGTTAAGTGTTCTATAGGTTAATTTGCAAATGGTCATGGTACAGATGAAAACAAGACATTCAGCTTTCAGTTGATGAAGTTTTTACAAGTCAGTAAAAAGGTGAAAGGAGTAACTGTCTACTGTACCACCAGGGATGTGTTTAGTACGTTCTTCGTAACATTTAGTTACAATTCAGTCTGATAGCATATAGAAATGTGACTTAACAAAATAGACTGAATAGTATCTTCTAATATTTTGGCATTTGTGTTTTTGTTTTGCTTTCTAGTGGACCAAATCGGGGACATTATATCACTATTGTGAAAAGTCATGGATTTTGGCTCTTGTTTGATGATGACATTGTAGAGGTCAGTATGCACATGACATTGTAGAGATCATGTGGTTATGTTTTCTTCTCTATTTGGGGTTTAAATTCTGATCCAGATCTGGGTATAGACTATTAGTCTGCAAAGCCACAGTTTGGTTGTAATGTGACATCTAGCCCAACTCTGTTAGGAAGTAAGATTGCAAACAAAATTATTAATCCTGTAGTTTAATTAATCAGTGTCAGAGAGGGGTGTTCCATTTCAGAATATCATCAAACAGTTTTAATATCAGACTTTAAGGGTTTAATTTGGAATGTTTTCTATGTCTAATAAAATCAATTTAATTCATTAAAACCTAAAATATCCAGGAACTATGCTGCAATCCTTGGCAATATCACTTGGCAAAATCGGACTGGGTAAAGCTAGCATTGCTGTAGAATTTTAATTTCTGAACGATTGGGAAGTTACAAGAAAGTCTGGATTCTGTAGTCAATCTGGGCTTGTCTGAATGTAAATTAGAGTAGGATCTGGCCCACAGCTATTACAGATTCTGTCTAAGCATTCTGCAATTCGTTCTCAAGTAAATCCTTTATGTCATTGAGGCACCTTGGCAAAACTGAGGTCTTGAATCTGATTTCCCAGGAGTAAATCCGATGGAGGAAAGTAAGCACTGGGACATTGGATGGGGCATGTCTTGAAGAGGGTTTCTAGAAATTTCAGAAGGATGGGGTCACGTGGCCACATATAGGTGTTTTAACTATGTTCACTACTGCATTCCAAGGAGTCTCCCTGTTATTGGAAAAAGCCTAATTCTGTTAGGTTCACTGAGACAAAACATTCCTATTGACTTCCATGAGTAAAACCAGTAGGGCTTAGCCCCTGAACGTTACCCTTTCACTGCTTAAATTGCAAGCAGGATTTGCTAATTGCTACCCTGAAACAAATGAGTGAATTTGTCTTTTGTGTTTATGCAGTCATTTAATCCATGTTTGGTGTTTCTTTTACCTAACAGCATATTAAAACCTTTTTTTTTTTTAATTTATTTTGCAGAAAATAGATGCTCAAGCTATTGAAGAATTCTATGGTCTGACCTCTGATATATCAAAAAATTCAGAGTCTGGCTATATTTTATTCTATCAGTCAAGAGAGTGACTTGGCAAACTGTGACAATTGCGCACAACGATGCTGCACGCAAAAGAAGGTGATGGCCCCCGTTAGCTGACTTTTACACAGTCCACATCTTGAATGGTTGAACAACGATACACTGTCTCCTATTAAATGGTCTATGTGATATTGACTATAACCATTCATTTTTTGACACATGGAACTTTACTTTGGGGAGCGGGGAGTTGTTTGTAGTTTTTAAGTCTGATTGAAGAGTCAATTGCAGTCAGATTTTAGTGGAATTTATATGGACTAACATTTACAGATAATAAGATTTGGATGTCAACTGTTAAACCCAATCCATCTAGAGTAGTTTTTTATATGGAAGTGTTCATTGCATTTAGGGCAAAATTGTTTAAAACTTTATAAATGGCTTTGGGGTATGTTGATTTACCAAGCATTCCTTTAAATAGATCCTGACATATACTTACCCATTTTAAGTGTAAGGAAAAAAATCTGTTTCATGACGACTGGAATTGTGGTTGTATAGGGGATTTTTTTACATGTTACTCTCTGCTAAAAAAAACAAAAAGTGTTCTTCCAAAATCATTTAACCTTTGGATTGTTAACTTACAGTGCCTAATCTCAGGCCTAAAATTCACATAGAGGGATTTAAATTACAGTGGAACTAAGTAATTCTGTGTGTCCAGTTACTTTGTTTATCATGAGATAGTACAGATGAGGTGAGATTTCAGAACATACAGAACAATGGAATAAAGGGAGTGAGATGACACGTATGACACAGAGATCAATTACACTTACAGAGATTGAGCTTATTGTTCCGTTAAAACTATATCATAGGTTGTTTACTTCATCGAGTTTGCAGAGATTCCAATGCTGTTCACGTATAACATATCCATCAGGACTGAGATTGCACAGTCCATTTAAATAAGTGTTGTTCATACAATGCATAAGACATGGCTTGATCTTGCAATTTTCTGAATATCTGTAGGTCCCATTTTCATTTCTCAAGACCAAGTCCGTTTCCTAGCAACATAACCTAATACATAACAACCATTAATTTGCATGTTTACACACACTGTCATGTATATGTCATCTCTAATATTTTGGCCGTGTTTGACAGCATTTGGGTCACCACAGAAACAGAGAGGGTTCTGGAGTGTCTGATTTTAAAAACATCAAAAGGCTTACTGCAAAAGGCATAGTTTATGATTTTACTGGGTGAATTTGGCTGGCACTAGTCATGCACTGGCTAATAAAACTGCTGAGCTCACATACTGAAATTTGACAAAGAATGAATGTAGAAGAAAGTATCGATAGGGTATGAGAAGGGATTGATAGCAGGTTGAGGCAGTGGTAACATGGTGTAACTACCTTGCTTGGTTTGACACTGTCACTCCATTATATAATTCTTGAACTTCAGTATGCAAATTCCTATTTCAACAAAGTCAAATGCAAGAACGCTTGTTGTCTTCAGGGAGACTGACAGTTGGTTCTAATATTTTCACGGAAATATTCTCATCTCACAAAATGTATTTCTACCTGTTATATTTCATTCACTCTTGTTAAGTATTTATTAGACAACATTGCTGTTGGTCCTTCTTTTCTTTAAGAAGCCTGCCTGCCACTTTATGGCCGACACTCCATTTCAAGAAGTGGCTTTTGAAGTGCAGCTAAATCTTGTATTTTAGACTTCTGTAGGAAAGAGAATAACTTTTTTTTTTCATTGTAATCTACTGTGAAATGCTAAATAATGGTGAAAATTAAGTACTAGCTTCTACTGTAACCTGAATTGAAGTTCAGTTGAGTTTATCAATGGCCGTTTAGTAAACTAAAGAAATGTAGCACTTTACACTGAATGAGAAGCAGAAGTGGACTTTTCATCTAACATTATTTGTGATTTATCCTGTTATTATACCGATACAAGAAAACAGACGTAGAATGTAACGTTAGAGTACTTAGGTGAAAAACAGGAGTGGTCTACAGAGATCACTCATATGAATGAAGGCTGGTATGCAGGCTCAAGACAAGCATAATCAGGATGCAGCTGTAGTTCTTTTATTGATGTTAGAATGAAATGTTCTGGCTCTAACAGAGAAGACAAACATCTTACAGTAGACTTCAACTCTCACTGAGGCCCAGGAGCTTTTCCACTGAAAAGCTCAATCTGCAAATCACTTTTTAATGGGTTTATTTATATGCATTCAGAATTTCCATATAAAAATATAATACTCACTTGCCTTTTAAAATGGGTGAGGTTTCTCATGAATGAAGGCACTTTCTAGGTCAGCACTAACCAATGCTGGTCCAAAGGTCTGTATTTCACAGTTTACTGCTGAACATCCTTAGGGCATTCTTCAATTTTAAAACAAGCAACAAAAAAGATACTCTTAAGGTTTCCTTTGAGTGTTTAGGGCTCATGTTTATATGAAAAGTAATTTTTCATAAAAATAATTTTTAAATCAGTTCAATTTTAGGAAATGCTTTCCGTATTTCAATTGACTTATCTGAAAATTTATTTTTTTAATGTTAATAATACAAATGTAATATAAATGAATATTTAAATGCTGAAGTACAGGATAATAATCTTCAGTTTTCTCCAGTGGCAAGACAGCTGTAGGTTGTAAAACACACAGATCATTGCAGTATGCTATTGAAAGTAAAATTACTGGAGCAAGCCTTTTCATAAAACATGGAAACCCATTTTAAATTCATGCTGGCCTGTGAAAAGATCACAGCACCGGTATCACAGCAGTCCAACATCAGCGGTCCGACATGAACTCTGAAAAATTGTGGAATACTCACTTTATGCTAACACCAGCTAAATGACGAAGCATTGTCTTTTGATAAGAAAAAAAAAATTGCAGTCATAATTCTATAAAGTATATCTAGTCTACAGTGTGCTGAATGTCTTGACTTCAGTGCAGCAGAAGCTGTCCATCATGGCTGTAGGAACAGCGCCAGTCAAGGCAGCAGAACTTCTCTTCTCTGTCAAATTGAGGACACTCACACGGGTTTTGCAGGATTGGGATCCTCACAGGAACAATCATATGATGTAAAGTATTTTAGTTGATTAAATAAAACATAATCCTTTTTCTCTTATGCTTACGTATAGATTTCCAGTCCCTTATGAAAGAACCGAAAAATATCTGGGACAATAAAAGCTTTTCAGCCAGCAGCTAGAAAACAAAATTGTAGCACAGATGTCTAATAGTATTCTGTGCTTCCCTAAAATGACTATTTTTATGGTGTCGGGTTCTGAGTATATTAGGCCTAATGACATCTGAAGTTTTCTACTTCTTTCACACACTGTTGCTGAAATGCATTGTCCATTTATAAATTTAGTTACTATGTTCTTGCTTAGAAAAAAGAACATTTTTGTCCTGTGCTGTTTTTCCACTGAGCCCAATGAAGTACTGCAGGGCTGATGAATCAGTTATCTTAGCAGATGAGCTCAGACCTCAACTTTTATGTTTCATGGAACAGGCTGTCAGGATTTTATGTAACTTCTATTTTTGGGACATAGCAGAGGGAGGCAGAAGAGGGGAGTAATGGAGAAACCATACTGGGGAAGCATAACACCTTGTCGAAATTAAGTCCCAAAATTACTCCTGTCAATTTTATTTTAATAATTTACAGTTACCTCAGAGCAGTAGATTACATCTTAAAAGTTTTATTCCTTTAGCAGTTGGAGTAAAGCAAATAAAGCAGTAGGCGTTTCCTTCACATTAGTTTTAATAAATATATTAAAGACCTAACTAAGCCGAAACTGTAATTCACATTACATAGTGGGTCCTGAAGTCCTGCCACAACCTGTCTTTTATCTTCAGACATTACATTTCATTCATCCATCTGTTACAGCATCATGTACTTGGGACCTGAGCCGACAGCTTGCAGCTGCCAGTGATTTGATGCCTCTCAGCAGCAAACCCTTCTTGGTTTGTCTCTTTTTTTGCTGCTGACAAGTGTGAGCAGTATCTTACAGCTAAACGTGTACCAGACATTTTAAGAAGTTTTGGCTGTGTACCGGTTCTTTGCTAGTAACTTTTATCAGTGTTTGTTTTAATTTATTTCTCTGTTGGTCTGTTATTGTATTTGTATAATAACTTATGTAGTTAATATTTTTAGTTTGCTGTTTTAATTTTTATGTACTTTGATTTTTTAAACTGTAATCAACCCAAGCACTTTAAGCAACAATGTCAATCTTGTGAAATTCCAATCAGCTTAATATTTTGCCTTTGTCTTTTTGCTTTTGCAGCTGTTTGCTTTTGATCCAATGTCTCTAGTTACAACCCAATTTCCATTTTTAGGCTCATAGACCTTGTTGGATTGTAAATTTGGGAAGCCCAAATTTGTATGTATTTGTTCATACATAACAAGGATGCAATATTTACGCTGTGTGTGCTACACACAGCAGTGCGTACCTGACGTTGCACTCACAGTGCACATTTCACAGCCTTTTTTGCACTCTACCTGCTAACCCAGCTGAGAATGACTGTAATGCTTTAACCTGTGGCACTGTTATCAATCAGTATATTTAGAAAAGCTCCACTTCTCACAGGAGAATTCTTTTACCAAACACAGAGTTAGCTGTCAATCCGCTGACGATACAGATATTGCTCTCTTTGCCATTCCATCTGTGTTCTGTACAGTCTCAAGTATGAATGACCTTAAGAGCTGCGTATATTCTTGGCTCTCATGTGAGTGCTCACAAGGAGAGCAATCTTTTCGCATCTTCTTTCTCTACACTTGGGTTCATATACAGCAAAGAGATAATGAAGTAGGATAAGTCCTGGTATAAAAAAACAACACCAGCTATCAAAGACACTGGATGTTTCTTAGCGGCCAGCATCTGTGGTGTCCATATCAGAAAGTCACTAACTTTCTGTGTTGCTAACACACGGGTTATTCTTAGGTTTTTAGATGTTGTATTCTCTTTGATCAATGAAAAGCCCAGGGCTTTTTCCTGTTGCATCAGTTCTGTTGCTGAGGTGTTTCTTCTTGATTTAACATGGCACTTACTTAATATTTAAATAGCCCTTGGGAAGCCTCAATAGACACCCCTTTAATTTCTTTCCAGTTAACCTGCATTACTTCAAAGAGATTGCTTGAACCTGTCCACAAGACTTATTCAGATTAACACACTCCTTTTGCATACAAGGGCAAATAACAC